GTGTGTGTGTGTGTGTGTGTGTGTGTGTGTGTGTGTGTGTGTGTGTGTGTGTGTGTGTGTGTGTGTGTGTGAGCCTGTGTGAGCCTCTGCGTTTGCGTTTGGGCCAATTATGAGCCACTCAGCTTGCAGCATGTCGCTAAGGAGTAGCAACGCACTGGCGGGTGATCGTACGGCTGCAGCCCAGCAGTTCGCACCAGGAGTCCCGGCCGTGGCCCCCTCTGCTGGACCCCCTCCCCCCTTTCCCGGGCTAGCAGAATCCTGCGCGACTGTGAGGCCCACCCCGTGTAGTCATAGGCCATGAGGTTGACGTGCAGCAGCCGGCTCAGGTCCCTGAAGAAAAGAAGAGGCGCGATGCAGAGGATGGCGCGGTCACGCCACTAAGCCCGCAAGGGAGTGCCAGGGCATCGCCAGGGGGGGGGGACCCAGAGAGATCCTCCAGGCCCACCTCGCACTGCACGCACTCACAGCACCCATGGCAACCACCAGACATCATCATTGTCGTTGGCACATGAGACCTCTGCACATCTGACCACCAGCGCTGTCCCTGCCCCACCCCTTACCCCCACCTGTAGACGGGCATCATCTGCCCCAGGTCAACCGCGTTGCCGTGGCTGTACAGCAGCGTGGCGCGCGCGGCGCGGCCTCGCGCGTCCCTGAAGGGCAGGAAGGCCGTCAGGATGCGCCCGCCACCGCCCCCTTCGCGGCGCCGCGGCACATCCAGCCACTCCACCTGGCAGGTTTGGGGGTGGAAGGGGAGGGGAGGGTGACCCAGGCCATGGCAAACGACCCATTCCTGCAGCCCATCCGCCATGAGACTGCACCCAACCAATGAGGGTGGTTCAAACCCTTCCTGCTGGCCCATCATGCCACTGCCACGTGAGAAGGGCCTCCAGACAGAGCATTCACCCCCTGCCAAGGCTGCGGCCCCCTCGCGCCGCTCCACACCACCATCGCCACCGCAGCGGGGTCGACGCTGCACCCACGTGTGCGTTGAGTACGCGGGGGTACCCCCTCTCGAGGGGCTGTATGAACAGCTCCCCGCTGCCGTCCCCGTGGAGCCGCACGTCATAGGACGGCGGGGTGGGGGGGTAGAAC